CCGAAGGTGGAAGATACTAAGTTCGTGACCATGAACCAATGGGGAGATCTTATGATCTTATGATATCTTATTGGCTTGATGCATATTTGCTGCGTATAAAATACCATGTTCTCAAACAGTAATATCTCTTTAGCAATGGTCCTGCAATCAATTGGAATTGTTCGCCCAGATCGGTTTGGGTTTATTTCCAACAATATACATTATCCATTGAAGAGATATGCCAGCATTATCAAGACATAGTCTTACAAGATAATTAAGGATGTGTATCCGCAATTGCCTTAATCATAATAAGCGCGCAACATGCCAACTTGCGTCTAATAAGTACATAATATACCATCTAGTTGATGCATCGATTTATAACAATAAAATTAGCTAGATGGTTAACACGGCGGAATTATTAGTTTGCGTATATGTCCCTGAATTATTCCCAAACTTGCTGGTGATTCTAGGCTAATCTTACCTTAGGAAGGCCGTATAATTAATTTTGCAGCAAACAAACACGTGGAAATTCATTGATTGTAAAACTTCTGGTTTTTCAATGAATGACCAAATAAATTTCGTGCATCATTATTGACCTGGGATGGCCTAACCGGTCATGCTAAACAATAAGTCCATGTACTAACTTCAAGTTGGTGCCAGCTTCAGGCTGGATATAATAACTTAGGAAAATAATTTACCAATTTTTGGCTGGTGCATAGAAGGTATAAATCACATATCTATCTGCCAACTTCCAGTTGGTCTTAGCTTCGGACTGTGCAAACTGTGTATTTAAACACTTAAAATTGCTAGCTTCAGGCTAGTGCATTCCAACTTCTGGCTGGATATGGTAAATTTCAATTACTCAATTGCTAGCTTCAGGCTGCAATACATGTGTCAATATTAGGCTTATTTCTGCCACTCATGTAGGAAAAGATCAGAATTATTAGACAATAATTAAAGTAGTGGCAAATTTTTCGAAAAGCAAAACCTCGAAGATTGAAAAGCTTTGGAGTTTAATGACAAATAATGCAAAGTTTTAATTACCGAAAAATCTTCTGGATCTTTTCGGAGACAGAAAAAAAAAGGTCCACATTTGAAAAACTGACACCTAGCTGTCTAATCTCAGACTATAAGAAAGGGAGGCGGTTGAGACAGGAAGATGCAGAAAACTCAGAAAACTCATCAAGATAAGAAAAATGCCTTCCCTAGCTACTGTTTTCTTTGTTGAGGGTGCCTCTCTAGGAAGAAGGAATAGGTTAGCTTATATCATGGTGAATGAGTAGCAAGAGGAATTACCGAATGTTCTGGCGAGAATTCCTCGTTTAGTGTTTGTTGATGAACTTTATTCATCTAGGTTCTTTGTAACTCCTATGGAAGAAACATTCTTCCTAGAGGACCAAAACAATCTAAGGGCTTCCTTTTATGGCTCAGCTAACTCTATTATGTTTTTCATATCTGATAGACTGTAGGAATTTCAGTTAGAACCTTCATGTAAAATTTTAAATCAAAGCAGTTATTATCAGGTATCCATGATGGCTCGGAGCGTCCCAAGGGTGACTGGGTTACCACCTACATGACCTAAGGTACGACTTCTATTATGGAATTGCAGGGGTGTAGCAAGAAGGTCCCAAGATTTTGTGCGTACCTTAAGGGATCTGAAGAATCAGTACAAGCCCAACATGGTACTGATTACTGAGACTTTGTGGCAAGCAAGAGAAAATCATGGTGTAATCCCACTCCGTTTTCCTGCAACGAATAGGTTTGAGATACCTAGAGAAAACAATATGGGTGGCATGTGGTTTTCCTGGAACGACAATGTCAGGGTCAACATCAATAACGAGGCTCAGAGTTTTAGAGTCAATGTTGTACCCAACAGATAAATAACTGTTAATACTCATGTATGAGAACCTTTTTGAATGGTCTCCAGTTATGGATCCATTTATGCAATAATAATATGCATGTTTGCCCTTAACTTTTCCATTATTATCTCATTCACGGCCACATGGCACAAGTAATTATACTGTCTCATTCGCTTCAGGGAATAGAGCAGAGTCATTTCAACGGGATCCATAATAATATTTTTTATTTCTGTAAGTGGGAGTTTCTGTACTCTTCAAGAGTATTTGCTCTTCTAGAGCGTAAATATATGTTCTTCTAGATCATAGTAAAGCATGCATTCTTCAGGAACATATTCAAACTTATGCTCTTCTGGAGCGTATAAATCTTTTTCTCAATTGGAGATTGTACATGTTATGTAAAATAGTCGACATCCACACATATAACTCTCCCCCTTTGATGTCAATTTACATTGTCTCCAGGACAAATGCCTGAGCCATTATTCTACAAACAATTATAATAACAGTAAAGTAAACATAATAAAATAAAATATAACAAATAATAATTAAATAGAACATAAAATAAAAGCATTCAATAAAAATGACTTGCGTCTTCAGGCTAAGCAAGAACAATATCGATCTTCTGGTGGTCGTATAATATCCATCTTCTAGTGGACATATCTTTCTTCAATTTTCCTCAAAGATCTGCGGGATCTTTTGGCAATAAGACATCCAGTCTTCGCTTTATTTTCTCCTTTATTGAGTCTTCTAGACTCTTTTATTTAGTCTTCCAGACTATTATCATTTAAATTCATTTTCACATTTAATGCCCATGATAAATTTCTTCTGGAAATTTTAAGGGCCTCGGATACAAGTTTTGTAATACTAACATAATTCCAAAAATAAATAAAAGACTGAAATAAAATAAACATGGGCCTTTTATAATTAGTCCAATTAAAATTAAATGACTGAAAAATAAAAGCAATGGGCCTTGTACTAGCCCAATCAGAATGTAAATTAAAGCAAGAAAATAAATATAATGGGCCTTTTCATAGCCCAATAAATAACCGAAAGATAAATATGATGGGCCTTGTACGAGCCCAAGCAAAACGTAAATGAAATTAAAGCGAGAAATTAAATGCAATGAGCATTTGAATAGCCCAATCGTAATTTAAATAAATAAAAAAACATAAAAATATGCTTACTCGATAGAAGGCGGCTTCGCCGGCCAACAAATGAAACAAGACGGCTTTGCCGGCCAACAAAGAGGTAAGGGGGCTTAGCCGGCCAACAAATAGATAAGGCGGCTTAGCCGGCCAATGTTGAATATTAAGTAAAGCATAATAATAAAGGGTATGCTTACTCGATAAATCTTTCAGTAGTAATATATAATATATATTATACTTATACCCGGTTATTATTCCGGTAAATACTTTGATAATGTTGTTTTCAAAATTATTTTCCCAAATCATATATTTTTTTCGGAATTATATTTATCATTATTATTTGTTTTATTATTATTACTCCAACTGGACTGGGCCAATCCATAGCACATGTCTGGGCTAAGGTCTAGGCCGAAACCAACAGCTCTCAGCCCAACACGTTCACTATTCCAGCCCATCCAATAACCAGTCCAGGCCTGTGCAAAAGCCCAGGCATGTCAGCCCGGCGCCCAGGTCCGAAAACCAGGTGCGACCCGACGTCACAAACGGGTCTGCAACCCGGGTCGGCCACATCCGTTTACCCAGAGGAGCTGCAGCGGCGGCACGAGCAGGGAGCACGGACGGCGCAAGGCGGAGACAAGCGTGGTAGGAGACAAGACGGCGGAAGGAGGACGTGCGGCTGCCGTCGGTCGCGGGTGGCTGCGGGCCGCGACAAGGTTCGGGTTTTGCCGTCGGGTTTTCGGTTGTATACGGCGCGTCGGCGGTGGAAACCGACGGGAGAAGACGGCATCGAGGTCGCGACGGTGCGGCGAAGGGGCTGGTGGTGGTGGTGACGCGAGAAACAGCCCGGAACTCTCTCTGATGAACAGTAACCGTGGGTGACGGGACTGTTCATCTTCTTCCTGTTTTGTTTCGTTTCTGGGTTGATTTTTTTTATTTCTGCACTGGTTTCTTGCCTCAAATTGGGTAGAAACTATCGTGTTGATAACGTCTAGTTTATGTGTTTCTTTATTGATGAAGAAGGATAGAGATGAAGAAAGGAAGAGGAAGGAGAGACAGTAGAAAAATGGAGAGGAAGAAGAACTTCATTCTTTCATATCCATGGCAGTACAATATATATACAAGAGAAATATCTAGGTGGGTGTAACAGCATTCATCACGTTTTTTATAACACGGAGGATATTATCAAATGTAAGAAACGGGTTAATTACATTTTGACCCCCTGAATTCTGGTTTTTTTTGGCTCACCTCCTGAACTTTTTTTTCCATCAAATGACCACCTGAACTCCCAATTTGATACAATTAACCACTTCCGTACATGGGCAGATGGATTCCGTCACTTACACTAACGGAATGCAGGGATGGATGACACGTGGCATATCCTAACCATTCAGGATTTTTTTTCTATTTCTTTTTTCTTGAAAAGAATAAAATAGAAAATATTTAAAAAATGAAAAAAAGGATTAAAAAAACAACAATAATTGTTTTCTATTTTCTTTTTCCTCAAAAAAATAAAAAAAATAATATTTAAGAAGAAAAAAAATGAAAAAAACCGTACAGGCTTTACCTTTTCAAAACACTAAAGGGAAATAATTCTATTTCTGAGAAAAATTGAAGAGCTCGCTCATAATTAAAAAAAATTATAATAAAGATATTGCTTGGAAGCTATGGAGCCAGCACAGACCAGCAACACCAACCCGAACACCCCAGCTCGCCACCATCACATAACCACCATCAACACTACCGAACAGCAAGCACAGAACCCCAATCGATTAATCCACAACACACACAACAACCAACAAGAACCCGAAAGCAGCACCACACATCGGACCCGACATCACCGCACAAAGAAAACCCAAAAGGAATGATCAGACAGCCCCGAACCGAAGGGAAACAAAAGAAGAGGGAGAGGATGCCGCCACGCTCAGGTCTCGGCAGGATCCTAGGAAAAAGCACAACCGGGATTTGTGTATTTTTAGATGTTGGGTTTGTAATTGAATCGATTACTTGCGGTTGTAGTGGAATGCTGGTTCAGGATCCTAGGAAAAAGCACAACCGGGATTCTATTTTTGATGGAGCTAACAACTTGGCGGTGGAGAGGCCGTCTGATTTGTTGGATTCTTCCTCGAGCTCGTGAAGCTTCACTGGTACGGGGAGGTTACTCTCCGGTGAAACGTTTGCGCCTGTTCCCCCTCTGCCGCCTGCGACTATCAACCATACTATCACTCTATGGAGGAATCGCTTTACCGTTGGCGATGGTCCTCTACGGAGGAAGAGAGGCTCGGTGCTGGCCAGCTCGATGAGGAGCTCAAGGGCCTCGTTGCCGTTGTGAGGGCTTCGGTACAGGTGCGCATCATGGCGGGAAGGAGGTCCTGGAAGCGGTCGCGATCGGAAGGGGAGGTGAGGCATTGGATGAAGCTGATGATGGCGTTGAGGGTGGCGATTTTGAGGGGAGGGAGAGTGAGGCCGGGGAAGGAGAGAGTGAGCCGGCACCTTATTGTTCCACAGATTTCATTTTGACATCCACCGCACAGACCAGCAACAGGGCGTCGCCGGCGAGGGTTCCTCTTTAGGCTGTAGGGTGCGTGTTCGGGTTTGTGTGGTTGGTGAAGAATCACTTGTGGATCTGGTGGCGCCGGAGAGCACAAGCGGCGAAGGCGACCCCGTGCAAGGATCGGTTTCTTCGAGCTCCAGCGAGGATCCTACCGAGAGGTCCACGTGCTCCGACGAGAAGCAGCCCGAGAGGAGGGAGAGGAAGAAAGTGGGTGTGTGGATTCTTTAATATTTTTTTCTTTTTTTTCTTCTTTAATATAAATATTTTTTTTATTTTTTGGGGGAAAAAGAAAATAGAAACAATAATTGTTTTTTTTAATCATTTTTTTCATTTTTTAATTTTATTCTTTTTAAGAAAAAAGAAATGGAAAAAGAAAATCTTTGAATGGTTAGGATATTGCCACGTGTCATCTATCCCTGCATTCCGTTAGTTCAAGTGACGGAATCCATCTGCCCATGGACGGAAGTGGATAATTGCATCAAATTGGAAGTTTAGGTGGTTATTTGATGAAAAAAAAGTTCAGGGAGTGAGTAAAAAATAAACCGAAATTCAGAGGGTCAAAATATAATCAACCCGTAAGAAACCGCTACCTGTTATTCGAGATATCTTGAAGAATCTAGGTACCTGACCTGACCCAGAACAAATAATAAAAAAAAAAATCTCCATCCAACACATTGTCAATACACATATTGTCGCATTCTCAGTGGAGTGACTATAATTTTTTAGCCAACGGGCTGATGTGTCCGATCCATACCTCCCATCCTTCCCTTTCTTTCTTCTTGCCCAGCAACTGCGTCAATCATATAATATCGAGTACAATTAACACATTTCTGCGACAAAATTTTAAATTTATTGCGATGGCTTCAATTAGCTTCTACCAAATCCCACAAAAGCAAGCTCTGTATTCCTTTTCTCAAAATTATGTATAAAATAGGCGCATGTAAAATACAATCCTGCTTTCTGACAGCAAATATAGGACTATCAACAGGAAGAGCAACATGTAAAAGAAAAAAGTGAATAAAAGAAATGTGGACCCCTTCGGTAGATTTCAAACTTAGATGCACATACCAGCGGGCCTATCTGTAATGATGCCTTCTCAAATGTAATATCTATATGATCTGACGCAAGCTTTTTTGTTGCCCTAAAATCCACCATAGCTGATGGCCTGCAGGCTCAAATTCACTCCAGAGTATATCTATCCCTGCTTCATGCTTTCCTTCACTAACTTTTTAGTGTCCTTCACTATGCCTTGTCGAACCCTGCATATCACCCAGTTTAGCCTCATGCTTCTTCTTGCTTCTAGAACTGCGTTTCGATCTGTGTGACCGGGTCTTTGTAGGATGCTTAATGGTCTGCTCTTGGCTGACCACAAGTTTTTCAGTGGAAGGGAGCTCCGGAGGTGCATCAGGCCATGGTGTCCTTTTTGATGGAATAGTGATTTCCAGAGGCGGGTCAACTATCCAACTGCAACCAGCAGAAGTAGCAGAGTGTGAGAACACATAGAAAAACATGTCCAGTTGCAGAAATCAGCAAAATATAAAAGCTTTTGCTAGCAGGCTGGCAGCAAGTACAGTAATTTGAGCAATCAGAAAAATGAAAGCAGAAAACACTTGAAACTTAGTAGTTCCACTACCAATTTCCCACGTCTTGGAAATTTAAGGGGATGACCAACACTCAGGTTTCAAAATGTCTGACAAGAAATGTTTCATCAGTACCACATGCAGCAAAACAGTAGGTATAAGGCATCTGTATTTTCATAACAGAGATGATAGATAAGCATAAATATATAGTCAACCAAGGACTAGACGAGTGGTAAAGGTCTCTATTTCTGGCAGTCAAGTAGAGAATCTTCTTATCATGCGTGATTAGGGGGTGGGTTCGCATTCAGCTCCACCAAAATGGTGATAGCGGAGTACTGAACATATATGAAGGTTCTTATTAAATCAACACAACTATAACATATTATTTTTTGTGGTGAACTGTCATTATCAACAGGGTTCTCATATAAAAAGACATTACCAAGAAGATCAGGATGTAAGCCGGGAAAATATGAACAAGATTTAGGGAAGGAAAAGCAAAATACCAAACAAATTATAAGTTGTCGTAGAAATAAAGTTACTTAGCTCTCCATAAATTAGCAAGTCTAAGACACAATCAAAGTTGCGTGGCTACACATTAAGTACGGAATTGTTAGGTAGAGCTAAATACATTAGTTATGTAGGGTAGGAACATAGGAAGACAACCGGCCCACCTAAACAGGGGAGACACTTATCTCCCACTGTAGCATCATTGATGCTGTAATGAGAGGGCCACGCAAAATATCACAGGGAACAAATCCTGTCGAAGGTAAGCTTGCTATGAGCCTTACCAACCGTGATAACCTACCTAAAATAGAATACCATGCGGGCCCATGATGCAATAAGGATTCTTAGGTTCTAACACGGAAAATTCGTCAAGAAGTTGCACCAAGAAAGAGTTTCAAGAGTCCAATAGACCCTGAGCTGCAGGAAGAAAGCATTTAAGAAAGGAAATTTGTTACGTAAAATAAAATCGCTGGACGCTTTAGAGGGAGGCTGAATCCTATGGGACAAATTCCTGTTTTGTCAGAAATGTATTAGTTGTATGACACATCCTTCCAAGGAAATAATGGACCGATACGAATGGTATAGTATTCACTAGCAAGCTTGGCAATGTCTAACGATAGCAACAGACGAATACAATCAAAAGCACTCTATTGAATTCCTTCTAAGGAGCAACATCAATGGCAGTTCCCCCTTGTAAATAATGTGCTTTACTGTCTGGGAAGCAGCAAACATGTCCACTTCAAAAACCAAGTAGCAATAATCAATCAACCACATAGAGGGACATGCCGTCATCTGGAAAACAATACCAGAAATGACAAAATAGTTTCTAAAGTCCTCAGACAATTCCCCTTTTCTTCTTCCCTCCTTTCTTCCTTGGCAACTCCTTATACTAAAGAAAGACAGATTTAAATCCTGTAGGTGCTGCGAATTTAAATCCTATCCACAAGAACTCACGAAGTAGTCCCTAAGCTAATCTATCAGCCTTCTGATGCAACAGCCAAAAGACAGAAAAATATTTGGACATACACATAGGCTTCGTTGACACGGTTGACAACAAACCAGCGACAAGGGCAATCAACCGTTTGCTGTGATAATTATTCTTTTATTCTCTCCTAGTCTTCGTTTTAAGATTGTAACAAACAGCATGCCTAAGATACAAAAAATGCAGGACGCACCAAGATTGTAGCAAGGTGGATAAGTCAAAATTGATCTATGCGAATAATAATTCCTCTCCACCATAAAGACTTAAACAGAATTTAAAAGAAAAATTCAATGAGACTGTCATTCCTCGTTGGCAATTTTCCATAAATTGATCAACTGGCTATCACAGCTGAAATTTGAGGGAAAATTGCATAACTGATTTAGTAGTAACCTGTTATCTCCCAACAAAGTGAATCACTATGGCCAAAAAGTCTATCAGTGTCAGATTCAATAAGCTCTGGGAGCTAATTTTTCAGCCATGAACGGTCCTCATATTAAAAATGAAGAACTACAAAAAATAAAAGCAGCAAGCAATGTAAACAAAAGGTAAAAACATCCTTAATGCCTGAAACATACACAAGAAGCATATGCAACAAAGAGGAAAAAATAACAATGGCAAAGGGACCAATAAAGAGTAAAAGGCTTACCCAGGAGGGAATTTGCTATCAGCACGAGCTTCAACACGGAGCCACCAAAGCAAAACCTGTTTCCCACAGCTTCCAAGTGGCTCCACCATTGAAGGGTCATTCAACAGAGACAAAGGACTCTCAATATCCTCACCAACCGAATCCAAATCCTTCACCCATCCCGGCTTGCCTTCAGCATCCTTCCAAAGCAACCTCGAATTCAACACAAATCCAGCCCACTCCATCTTCCTTGGCAGCACGGTCGCCCTATCATCAATATAAATTGCATTTTTCCCCTCATATGGCACCGAATTAGAAGTGTGCCAACCAACCAACTGATTAGAAGCATTACAAGCAGGACCCTGAACCGGCATTTGCCGTTGATTCTCCTCCCCCAAATCTTTCTGGATAGCAGCACCCTCTTCAACACTAACAGAGTGAAGAAGTATCCCAACTGAAAGGGCACCAAACCACTCCACATTTTGGATCTCGTCAAACAGCTCCATGCTGTGCATATTACTATCATCCGCAAACATCACTATCCCATCCAGCCTCTCCTCCCTAACAATACTGCTCCACAATAACCAAAACATATAAACTTAAGCTTCTGTAACCAAAAATATAGCGCAATTGAAAACTTGGCGCAGGAAAAAGTTGGGAGGGACCTACCTTAAGGCACGGAGCCGCATTCTGGCCTCCAATTGATGCCTTCCTTCCCAAGAATCAGGCATTCGCTGGCTAAACCCGACGTGGATGGTCTTCAGCCCGGACTTGGCAATGATGGAGGCGGTTTCATTGGTGGGCCCGCCGGCCTCGACGAGGATCCAGACGACGTCGTAGGGGACGAGCATGAGGGAGTGCATAACGCCGGTCAAATGCAGCGTCTGGAAAGTGCGCACGTAAGTGGGCGTGACCACGATAACCCTCCTGGGGTTCTTCACACCGAACTGGGCACGCTGCTCCCTCTGCACCCGCTCGATTAACTGGTGAGCGCGTATGACCTCGGCCGGGTTCGGGTGGGGCCACGGGCGGATCCGGATCCCGTGCCGCCCGACCACCACTCTTGAGCTCAGGGTCCTGTTGAGCGCCGGAAGTTCCGGGTTCGTCAGGGAAGGGTCGGCGTTGGTGAGGTCACCGGGAGTAGCGGAAGTGGTGGTGGTTAGCTGGCGGAACGGCGCCGTGTAGAAGTTGGTGGTTGTGATGGTGGTGGTGGCGGAGGTGGAGAAGAGGAAGAAGAGAACCAATCGAGAGAATCGGAAGCCGAGGACGAGGCTGATGAGGCAGCACAAGCCGTGGAGGACTAGCCAGAAGATCGCGGCGGGAGATTTGCCGTCGCCGGAGGAATCCAACGGCGCTGATCCTCTAAAGCTGTTGTTCCGCCGGGTCAAGTAGCCCTGGTGCAGCGCCGAGAGCTTCATTTTCGCGAGTTTGTTTTCCTTCCTCTTCTCTCTCTAAACAATAAGATAGAGAGAGAAGCAGAAGAAGAAGAAGAAGAAGAAGAAGAAGAAGAAGAAGAAGATAGGGAAAATGGTGGGGGAAGGTGAAGAAAGGGGAGGGAGAGGTATTTGTTGAGTTTGTTTCAAGTTGGGGGGAGAGAGATTTGGTGGAAGGTGAAGGCGGTGGTTTGCTAATCAAACTGAGATTTCTTTGAATTCAAGAATGACTTTGCTTTTTTGCTTATCATTTGATCTGTCTTTGTTTGTTGCTCCTGCTGGCTATTGGTGTGTGCTGCTTTGTTTAAGTTTTTTACTGTGTTCGTCCTTCCTTTGTAGGGATGGCAAAAATCCCCCCTCACGCGGCCATCCGCGGAGATTTCCCACCGTGAGTACGGGGACAATTATTGACCAGTAAGGATAGGATTAGGGAGGATTTTCAATTTAAGACTAATTTTTTTTTGTCACCGACCGAGAAATGAGGTATTGATTAATCAAAACCAAAACACTTACAAAATACGATCAGCCTACAATCATCTATCCTCTATCCTCCAGGAACAAAGGTCTAATTACATCAGGAGGAGAATTAATCATGGTTAGTCCAGGGCAAAAATGGGCAGTAACCGTAATATGTTAATAATTTGAAGATGAAAATGGAGATCATAGTATCCGTCCCGCGGGGATTTATAAAAATATAAAATAATAATTTTACCCTCTAATTACTCTATATACAAATATATATATATATATATATATATATGTATTTTAAGTTTGAACTTTTAGTCATTTTGTTTAAATATAAAATAAAAAAATTATAAAAAGATAATGTAATATAGACCAAAGTTCACTTCAATTCACTTATTTTATTGTATTTTTTTTGTCCTGAATTTAAATCTTTTGGTGGTAATATGTAGTATTAGATAGTAATATATATTTTGTACTGACACTAATATTAATATGATTTTGTAACTGTTTAGAACTAAAGTTTAAGTTTTAGTAAAAATTACAAATATTTAAAATAAATAATTTGAGTTGTGGGGATCAGTGGGAATGCGAGGAACGGAGATGGGAACCAAATTCCCCCGCCACGGAAAATGGTGATGGGGATGGGGATGGGGATGGGAGAGTTTTAGGTTGCGGGGATGGGGCGGGGATTCCTCTGCCCGTTGCCATCCCTATTCCTTTGCACTCAAAGAAGGAAAGCGAGACAGAATATTAGAACATAGACATTGGTCCTCTGATCTAGCCCTAGGAGACCAGCTGACACGTAGTAATTGCCTGATTTAGGACATGTATTGGTAATAATCTTGCTCTATTTGGTATCCGAGTTAAGAGGAGGTTAGAGTAAATCTTCTTCTTTTCCCTCTTTTTACTAATAAATTTTAATTATTTACCTGTTTTTTTTTTCCCTTGTCAACATTCGTTTAAGTGATTATCAATATTAAGTAATTATCAAAAAGAAAATATCTAAGTAACAACATAGTTCTAAAAAAAAAAAAGATTTTAAAGTAACAACACCTCAATCTACATCAAAGCAATTTGCTTTATGATTTCTAATGTTTACCAAATTAATTGACGCGATGAGGTTGACTAAGAGCTGGTTTCAACCTTCAACTAACCAGCAGTTGCTTATCACAGTCACACGGGTAAAATGTCGATTTAATGATTAATATTTTTTAAACTCGGAGGGAAGTAAGTAACTAATCATTTAATTAGGAATAACTGTCATTTTCTACGATATTGACATATTGTTACCATATGGAGGTTAACTAGGGAACGGGGATGGATTTATTATTTAGAAGACCATTGCCGGTTTTTAAACCTTCCCTTGCTTTGCATGTTTGGAAAATTAGGTGGCCCGTAAATCTCAGGGTCATTAATGAAATTTGGAGGTTTATTTAGAAACACCAGATTAGGATGAAAGTAAAGAAAAAGAGTCTTGGACTTGGACAAGAAATCAAGGAAAAAAGGGAAGGAGGAATAAAATAGGTGGTGGGCTACGGGTCGCATTCCGTCAAAAAGGACGAAGTCAGTCACCTATGGTGGTGAGGGGTTAGGTCAACGGTCCTAGGGAAGGTGAGCCGTCGATTAAGTCGGAGACACGCGTGATTAATTGTGAAAATGGCTTAAGATTAAAAGGTCCACAGTTGTTATCATGTTGAAGCCATGCCTTTATCATGCAAAACTAGCTGTTGAATTTATAAAGGGTTTTTGGGTTTTTTTGCCCCATGTTCAGTGTTCTTGGCCAATTATATATTCCGACATTTTTTTGGCCGGGCATATACCCCGACTTTACATGGGCAGGCCAAACGTGATCCCCTAGTCAGGTACCTGCTGACGTGGCGGGCTGCCCGAATTTTAGGTTGGGGAGGTGTTCCAAAACGACGTCGTCCCGCACCAAAACGACGTCGTTTAAAGGGTTGGGTGGACATGTAGGATTCATGTATCTTTGCAGGCTCCACATGCTACCAATCCGGGTTCTTCACCTAACTGACCCGAACCTGATTGATACCGAAATAAAAGCTGACCCGGTTTTGATTATTTATTTAATTATTTTTTTCTTTTAATCAAATTTTATTTTTAAAAATATTAAAAATGAGTAAATCTTAATTTTAAAAAAAATACTTGGATTTAAATAAATACACCTTATTATGTTTATTTATTATTTCTAAAATTTTATTTTTTCCACATATTAATTTCTAAAAATTTCTATTTAAACTCTCAACATTCAAACTACCAAAAAAAATCAAAAAATATATATTTATTTCTATAAAATATATATTTATTTTTATAAAATATATATTATTTTTATAATCATTATCCGTGTAACAGCCCAGGTAAATTTTACGTTTTACCGCGACCGTAATTCTTTTGCACGCGATTTACCGCGAGAAATTGACCTTTGGTAATTATTTCATGGTAAACTGAGCATATGATTCCAATTCCGAGTCTCATTCCATACCCCGGATATTTTTGCGGAATTTCCGGGACAAGTTGGAATTTTCCGGATTGGTAAAAGCGTGAAAGACGATTATACCCCTGGGTTAATTTGGAACCCAAGAGGAACTGGAAGGGCATAAAAGTCTTTTGTTGGATCAGATTTTTCTGCTCAATCATGCACGTACACACAGTAACCCTCTATAATTCAGCTCAATTATTTACTAATGGCTGACATCTTTATCTTGTCCTTTGTTTGCTTCAGTTATTTGCTTCCCTTTTTCTGGCTTTAAAAATCATACCGGTCCTGCAACACAAACCACCCAAAACATCACCAGCTTCCCAGTTAAACTGCTTTTCATTTTGTTCATGTTCGTTCCCTGCATCATTTCTCAAACCACCCAGTTCCCATTTTTCCATACAATTTTATTGCTATAAAAAAAAAAAAAAACAACAACCCCTTCTGCTGCCCCCAAAATGACGTCACCCCACCAACCCCTCTTCTTCTTCTTCCTTCACCCTCCACTGCCGACCACCGTGAGTACCAGCACGACCACCACCTCCCGCCTCTCCTTCTCTTTCTCGCTTCCTCCCGCCACACCCAGTCGCCGCCAGCCTCGCTTCCTCCACACGACCGCCACGGCGCCGTCCTCTTCGCGTCAGCCGTCACAACCACGTCGCCATCTTCTTCCTTTCTCTTCTCCGTCCGCGCCGCAGCAACCACCGGAAGAGGCCGCAACTCCTCGCCTGCCGTCGTCGCCGCCGCTGTTAGGTGAGCAGACCCGTCGTTGAAGACGACCCGGATAAGTGGGTCGCGGGTTGGGTTAATGGTCCGAGTCAGCGCCTGGTCCTGCTCTAGTTTGGGCTCTGCACCTGGGTTTCATGCTTGGGTTTAATGCTTTGGATCAGGGCTGGCACACTTAGGTTGGCCTGTAACGTCCCGATTTTTCATAATTTTATTTATAGAATTTATGGAATTTTATTTCCATTTTTTACCCTCGAGAGTTTTGCGGGGTTTTGGATTTTATGGTATTTAATTACCTCAAATTATTAAGTTTCTTGTCAGGTTTCTTCATTAACGAGCTTTCGTCGGAGTTAAATCGGGTTTTGGAGATGAAACTTGAGTATTGGTATAGCTTGATCAAAACTACGTAGTTTTGAAATAAGGAAAGATAAAAAAAAAACAAAAGGTTGACTGGGCAGGGCGGGTTGACCGCGCTTAAGTGGAACAACTTGTCGTTCGCTTAGCCGGCCAAACCCTAGCCCATCTCTTTTCTTTTCTTTTCTCCTCTCTCTTTCTTTTCTCTTCACCTTGCCGCCACTCCCATTCCCCTTCCTTTCCTCCCTTTCTTCGACCCTCAAACCAACCCACACATGCATCGCCGCCGTTCACCAAGACCGAGCGAGGGATTGAGTGAAGAGGATTCGGGTTGAGGTGTCTCGGCTGTGGCTTCGTTCAGATCAGAGGAGCGGACTGTGCTTTTCGTCGTCGCCGCTGCTTCGTCGGGTGAGTGCTGCGTCCCGATCCTCTTCCCTTCATCTTCTCTTTGCTTTTCGGTCTTCCTTCCTCTTTTCTCTTTTGTTCTCCTCGGTTTTTTTTTTAAATTAATTGGGTTGTTCTGGTTGTGGATATGGCGGTGCTACGGTGTGTTGCCGATCTGGGTTGTTGTCGGGCTGCGTGTGTGGTGGTGGTAGATTTTGATGGCGGCGGGATTGGGGGTTGCTGCTGGTGGTCGGGTCTGGTAGTTCTAGCCTGGAGTTGTTCAAGCAGCGGTCGGCGTCGATTTCGGTGAATCTTGCTGCTCGGGTTGTTGTTTTGCCTGGACAGCGGGGTTGCCTTGCTCCGGGCATCGTGGTGTTGACGAGCTCGGGCTTGGGCTGTTTGGCATGGGGCTGAGCTCTTGCTTACGGATCTGCGGTTGTGTTCACAGATCGTTGTTCGGTAAGTTTTCCAGCACCCTTTGTTAGATCTCTCCTCGTTTTGGTGCTGTGTTGATGTTGTTTTGATGTTTTGGGTGTTGATCTGTGGGTTTTCGGATTGGATCTGA